GAAAGCTTAATCTCTAGGAGACCCTAGATCTCAGTCCAAGCATTAAAGTTAAGATTAGCCTCCTCATTAGAGTTCTAGCCTTTAGTAACTCTCCTAAGACTTCTAATTTTAGTCAGCCAATTTCCTATGGTAGAGGTGGCCTTATTAGGTTCTGACCAGATCTTATGGACCAAGTCAAAAAAAATCTGCCCTAAGGAGCCACCATCTTTTCATTTTAAAACTACTTTTTCTAGGTTGGGCATTAATCCCAGAATCCCATAGAAGAGGGGTGTGGTCACTCCCACATATAGGGAGAGCTTTACATGATGCTAGAGGAAATAAAAGGTCCATGTCAGTGTTACAGAAAAGTCTGTCAATAGTAGACATGATGAAATCAACTTGGTTGTTAGCCCAAGTGAATTTTCTACTAGAAAGCTTAATCTCTAAGAGACCCCAGATATCAGTCCAAGCATTAAAGTTATCATCCATCTATGGTTGATAACCCCATTGCTTTTTTCTTTAGCATTTCTAACCAAATTAAAAACCCCTCCAATAAGAGTAGGGATAGCAATGTCTACAAACAAGGAGTGAAGTTCAGAAATAAAAGCCCCATTGCCTTCCTCATAGGGGGAGCCATAAACAGTAATGGCTCTAAATAAGCTATCATTATTCTTCTGTCTCAGATCACAACTGACAGAAAAATCTAGATGAGACCAGGAAATAACTTCAAAAATATCTTGGTCAACCCCCATTAGGATGCCTCCAGCAGTGCCTATTGATGGGAGGTGGTGCCAAGCAAAATCTGTACTACGAACCAAAGATTTTAGGTAAGAGGGGGAGAATTCCTCTTTATTGGTTTTCTGAAATCCTAATATGGTAGCATGGGTTTTAACAATGGTATCTATAATAAGAGGCTTTTTCCCTGCAGCTGAGATGCCTCTAACATTCCAAAAGAGAGCATTCAATTGATCACCCCTGTCCTGGGATGTTTGCCCTGTCTATTCTTGCAAACCAAGGACCAAAGGCCCTCATCAGGACTAGAGGGTGGATCAGTAATGACTAAAGGGCCAGCTAAAGCTTTATCTAGCTCATTTTCATGACCTTCAGTCATGACTGGAGCTTTAAGTCTAGTCTTATCAAAAGGATTAAAGGAACTGGCAATCTTATTACTAGTCAGATCGACCTCTCCCCCAATGTTAGAAGCTACATCAAGGAATGAAGAATTACTAAATAGATTAAAAGAAGCTTGGTTCTTACCATGAGCTTTTTGAACTTCCAAATTTTTGACTTCTTTAAACTGTTGAGATTTTTCCATGATGGTTCTCTTGTCACCAGCAATTCTTGAGCTCATTCTTTTGCAGCTTGCACAGGGCCCCATTTCTTGCTTTCATTGGCAGTCTTCAGTGCAAGGAAGTTGGAGTCATATTGTACATCCAAAATCAGTTGCTCTGGCTCATTCCCACTGTCCTGATCCCCTAAATCCTCATCAGTATCAGTCTCATCTTCTCCAACCAGTTCCATTTCCCTCAGCAGGTTGAATCCCACAGAATCCCCCTGTTTTGAGTTGAGCAGTTGTTCCAAAGCTTGAATCCTGGGTAGGTACTATGACTCAGGGAGCTGAGTTTTAAGCATGGAAGTTGGAGTTTTTCCCCTGAGAATGTTGTTTCCCTGAGACTTGTGTCCTGTGATTTGTGGTTCCTGGCCAGTGAGAGAGCCAAAGTCTGAGCCTGTTCTGGAGCCCTATTGGGACCTACCATCATTTGAAGCACTGTCTCTAGACCTAGTTTCCAAAGAAGAGTAGGTGTCCAGTGAGGGGTTTGTTGCTGTCACTGTCTCATCATCAGTTCTGGGTGGTTCCACTTCAATCAACAACCTGTAAATTTTGCCTTTGATTCCAAAGAGTCTTTCTGTAGGAATTTTTGTTGGGTCCTTACAAGAGATCTTCACTCTAACAGTCTCATAGAAAGACTGAAAGTTATGTTGCCAGTCCACATCCAGAAGCACTCCTAGTGTGGATGTGTGATCTGGTCTCATACCATTTAGGGTTCATCTTCTTGATTTTGATATAGACGTCCTGCAGGTCATCCTCTACATTACCTTTCCAGACCTCTACATTGACTATGACATTCTCTTTTTTCAGACCAAAGCATGGGTAACCTGCAACATGGGCCACATCAATCTCTGGAGGGAATTTAACCAAGAAGGTCCAATCATCCAGTGCATTGATGGGCCATGGCCAATTAGTTTTGTAAATATCAGCAAACTCTTCTGCTATCTCTTTGTAGTCACCTCTCCAGATTTTATGAGTATTATGCCAACATTTTTTAGTCCTCCATGGTGTTGTGCATTCACATCAGGCACATCAAGATGATAAAAGCCTAATCCTTGAGAAGCACCCCCCACATAGCTGGCAGAGGTGCGTGCTTTCTTCCTGATCATCCACCACATGAGTGACCATCTTGCATATAAAGCAGCTCTTCGGCTTCTGACACTTCTCCTTGTGGTGTCTAGGATCACCACAATTATAGCAGACTACTTGAGCATAAGACATCAGTCCAGCGGATGAGGAAGAAGAAGCTTTTTGCACCTGATCTTGCTTCTTGCGCAGAGAATTCTTGCTCTGATTCCTAATTGATCCTTGTTGACCACCAGAGTTGCTTCGATCTGCTTGTAGTGAATCCCCCCACTCCCCGGGCCTTGAGGGGTTCCTTGGGAGGGAGGGCCAAACCATTGCTGTTGCGGCCCTTCCCCCATGACTACTGCTGGAAGGGGTGCGGGAAACCCCAGGGAAGCCCCACTACGGAGGAGGACCTTGGAATCCATAACCAAAGAACTGTTGTGGAGGACCCATCAGATGCATCTAAGATTGCTCTTGTGGCCAGCCGGCGAGGTTATCACCCCTTCTGTCCTTACCTTTGTTACGCCCTCACCCGCGCCCTCCATCTGCCATTGCTAGGAGTTGTGGTGTGGCGGCGACTAGGAAATCTTGGCAAGGGGGAGAGGGGTTAGGGTTGCTAGGGTTCTCGACCAGGCTCCTTTTTATAGGAACCCACAACTGACAGTGGAAATCAGCCACCGAGTCTCGTGAATCGACCTCCAGGTCGGCGTCCCAGTCAACTATTCTCATTTTTTGCTTTTTTGCACGCTTCTTTTTCTGAAGAAAGTTAAATCCACCAGATTGTTGCAGAACTAGCAGAGCCGTTTCTTCCCTCCCCCGAATTGTAGCATGGTGAGGTGTTCGGACATCACCAATGTTGCCTCGAGCAAAGCCTCTCTCCTGATCTGTAGCCAAATCACCAGCAAAACCAACAGAAAGTTGAAGGGGTTATCAGCGCCAGCAACAACTGATGAATTTCGTCCCAAGGCTGCCCCCCTGAACAACCACGATATCAACGTCTTCGTTTACTTCAGGAACTGATGCAACTGCTGCTTCACACTGTTCGGGCGTGGACAAAGTAGGGTCCCTTGCTGGATGAGTCGGGCCTGGAGCAGGTTGTTCAGCAGACTGGCTTGTTCCCTCGCACCCATGTTTGCAGACGTGATTGCGGTGATAAGCAGAGAAATGCAGAGGCCAGCGAGCTTTGCCCAGGGGATCTGTGATCCAAATGTTGAAGGACAGAAATGTATCCTGCTCTTCCGCAATCGGATCCACGTTGATCCTAGGAGGCTTCCTCAGTCTGTTGCTGGCGCCGGCGACAAGTATGGAAGCAGATCTACAGGCTCTGGTTCTGGTGGAACTCACGTCGGCATGAGGCTGGAGATGCAGCTCCACCTTCCCTCCCTCCTCGGGTCCTCCGATTTCCCTTCCCGTCGCGCCCAGTTGACGAACACCATCGGTGATTCCGAAGGGTGCGCATCTTGCGCTTCTCCTCTAGCATACCCTCGAAGTAGATTCGCCAAGCGAGATTCATCAGCTCCATGTTGACATGATCCTTGCCAACTTGAACATGCCTCCGAGCGACTGAATATTGACCTGCGTCCCCATCCAATTCCTCCTCCGCTTCTCTCCACTCCCGAATGCAGAGCATCCATGAGAGAGCATCGTCCATGATCCTCCTCGCCCACTCTCTCCAGCACCTCTCCCTGGTCGCCGCGAGGACCTCTGGCGAGACCGAATCGACCCGTTGAAGCAGATCTGGCAAGGCTTGGTGGACGAACGAGAGCGGAACCCGGTAGCCTCTCCCCTCCCCCTGCGGAATCCCCATGGATCTGATTAGGTGCGTCATGGGGGAGGGTGGGATGTGCCCTATGCGACTGCTCTCCGTCGGCGGTGACGGTGGTGGGGGGTGATGGCGGGGGTGGGTGGCTCGCGAGAGGGGTGGTGGTCATGCGGTCCGGTCCTTTTTCAGAAGTCGAATTAAACAACCTCATAATACATCAATACACTAGCTCCATAAATTTCATTATTACAAGTGAGAAGCAATTTTATAGGATCTGAACTTGTATTATTATGCTTCGAATACCTTAAGGAAAAAGCTTACCTTCAACCGACCGATAACGCTCGCGCGTCCGCCGGCTCCACGTCCTTCGGATCGTCTGTTGATCAGATGGATGAGAGCGTCCCCCGCCTCCGTGTCACACGCAGTAGTTTTCTGAAACTTACCTATTGTTTCAGAACACACTCATGCAACTGGATAACGCCCCTACAGCTCAGTTGACTCGTGTGGTTGGGACGACTCCGACGACTCCGTGGCTGGGACGGCGACGACGTTGGGATCTGGGAGGGCGCGGGGGCGGCGACGGTGCAGGGTGTGGGGCGACCGGAGCGCATCCACCATAGTGGCGACGATGGCTTCGACATCGGCAGTGGTCGGCGGCGACACAAGCAGGTACGACCACATGTGCGAGGTAACGATGTTGCATAATCAGAAATCAATCGTTCGACCCCCTCGACAAATCTAGCACCTACTCCCTCGTTTTCTTGCCTTTGATCCCCTCGATCTCGTCTCTCCCCCCACGATGCTCTAGCACTTCCTCCCTTCAACCTGCTTCTAAAATAATCCATGACCCAAGCTCCAGCCATGGCGGACAGGGGTGTCAATTTGCTTCCCAAATCATCCACGGCTCAAGCTCCAACCATAGCGAACGGTGGTGTTGATCTGTTTCTCAAATCATCCACAGGCCAAGCTCCAACGATGGTGAACGGTGGTGTCAATTTGCTTCCCAGATTATCCACAATCCAAGCTCTAGGCATGGCGGAAGGAGAAGGTAGAAGATATTTGTTTCTTCAACAAAGCTCTTTTGCAAAAGGGCCCTATTGCAGCATAAAAAACTCATAAAAATGGTTCTGTAACAAGACCTTTGTTGCGGAAATGTTCTACAACGAGATCTTTGTTGTAGAAAAAATCGTAAAAATAATTCTGCAACAAGACCTTTGTTACGAAAAAATTATACAATGAGCCCTTTGTTCGCAGAAAAACTCGTAAATATGATTCTTCAACAAGACCTTTATTGCGAAAATTTCCTACAATGAGACCTTTGTTGCAGAAAAACTCATAAAGATGATTCTACAACAAAGACCTTTGTTGTGAAAAAATTCTGAAACAAGACCTTTATTGCAAAAAAAAAACTGTAACAAGACCTCAGCCGCAGAAAATACCGTAACAACGCACTTGTTGCAAAGATGACTTGTCATGTAGGTAGATCGGACGACATACACAGCTCCATCCAATAGTCACGAAGACGGCGGATCTTTTTATATTATCTGCCGGCGGACGCGTAACATCGCGCATACCTTAAACGCTTTTTTTATAGGAAAAACCTCCTGGTACCAAAATTTGAGGCCTCCTTTGGTTTAAAGGAATCTTGTAGGAATTTCATAGGATAGGATTTCTATAGAAAAAATTCCTTTAAAGCTCTTTGGTTTGTAAGAATGAAATCCTATTTCTATGAAGGAATTTTTCCTATCCTCCACATTTCATAGGAAAATAAACATTACCCTAGACTCAATGGAAAAAATCTTATGATGTGTAAAAGGCATCTGTTTTCCTATTCCTACTCATAGGATTTGAGATACATGTCATCTCATTTCCTATGACTTTCCTATTCCTACGATTTTTCTACCCTATAAACCAAAGGAGGCATGAAGGTTTTAAATTATGCGGCGTTTGTTCAAAGTAAACAAATTATTATGCGGTATTCGGTATTCCTCTCCTCCTCCGCTGCTTAAAAAAATCCGTCCATTTCAAGGCGGCTTCAAGGTCTCCTGCAAAATCTCCACAACCCCCCTCGCTCCGGATGGAATCCGACGGCGAGCATTCGCCGCCGCACGCCTGCGGCGCTGGCCACCGGGCGTCGCACTCTCTCCCGACCTCGGCGGGCGGCAGCGTCTGCGTTTCCTGCGCCGCGGCCCTCCTCTCCTCCGCCTCCGCGCCGTCCCACCACGTCTCCCACGTGCTCGCCAGCCTCTCCCTCGCCCTAGCTGACCCGGCCTTCCTCGCGCCTCTCCGCGCCGCTCACCCGCGCCTCCTTGCGGTGCCACTAGTCGAGGCCCTCGCGGGCGCGGCCGCCCGCCGAGACGCCGCACTCGCCACCCAGGCATCCGACCTCGCCTCCGACCTCGCGTCCGCCGTGGGCCCCCCTGCCGCCTCCGAGCTCGTCGCGCGCCTCGCCCACGTCCTCTCCTCGGGTTCCCTCGTCAAGCACTTCCACATGGTACGTGTGCCGCTACCCCGTGCTACGCTGTGCTGAGATGCATGCTAGTTATGGTCAGTGGTTATGGTGATGGACGCTGCTGGGCAGGGAGAGGTGGTGGATTTTGGAAATAATGTTACATTGATTATGTTGCCTGCAAATAGTTTTAAGTGGAATGGCTGAAAGGAAATTATTCAAACTGTGTGAAAGAATGTGGTGAATAGTCCAGGATTTACTATTTAGTGAGCAGTCGGAACCAAATTTTTTGCTGCAGAAAACATGGCGTCTCATATTCTTTGATTGTGCAACTCTGATATGGTAAATTGGTAATGGCGCATAGCCAACAGCTTGATTGCACATGGACACACATGTAGCATTTCTTATTATCGGCAGAGTATTCAAGATCTATTTGCTTCCATTTTGGACATTCTAGTGTTGATGAAGTTTTTTTGAAGCGTCTTACACATTGTTGCTGCTTTATACTATTTATTAATTTTCATCATGCACAGTTCTATGCTCTCAATTACCGAACATGGATGAACCTATTTTATTACTACAGTTTCTGATTTTCCAACTCCTAGCCAGGATCATACAAGTTGCATCATGTGAATCATGCCTCTTTCTTTCTTGTTCACATGTAGCAGTGTCTTGTTTCCATAGTGTACAGCTATATTCTGCTACTGAAACTATCATGCGATTTTGTGGTCTTCATATGCTTGCATTTTATTGTTTGATGTTTTCTGTGGCACCATCGGTTTCATTCATCTCACCTGTAATTTCTAGTTCTCTATGTTCTTAGTACTCGTATGCACATTACATATCTTTTCCTTACATTTTCTTACCTTCATATAGATCGAGTTACAACTAGAGAGAAGCATCAGTTGAATCCATTGTGGGTATTTATCTCCTTAGTTACCCTCTAATTTGGGTCTAGAATATTTTGCAATAAAGTATATTTGGAACTTGGAAGAGCTAATAGGGATGCTTATTATATTTACTACTTGAAATTCCCATCTAGAGAGGGTTAATGATTGTATGTTTTCTTGTTCCTACTTCCCTTCCACCTCTAAACTTGTCACAGAAAACCAGAACAAACTACACCTGTTACAAACAAAATAACTTCTAACAAAATTTATTTCTAATGCTGCCTCTAACCAGAAAACACAAATGTCAAACAAACAAATCAACTTCTAACAAATATATTCTTGTGCCAGCAACTTATTTTATCTGGTTCCCATAGTTCCCTGACCCGTGCTCATCCTCTTAGTTTTCCCAAATCACCACTGCCCAAAGTGGCGGCAATAGACTCAGCTCTGCCTGGCCCATGTCCTGTCCGCTTCTTCACTGTTGAGTGAGGTCACCACTTCCAACCCATGTGCATGGTTTTTTATTTATCCACAGACCACCACAATGCAACACATGGTTGTTCAGGTAGGGAGTGTAACATTCAAGGCAGGGAAAAGCATAAAAAGTATGGATTCATTTTATTTTGTTAATGCCACTCTGGGAACTGAGTTTGAATGTTACCAGCAGAGAAACCTGCTGTTATGTTAAAGGGTGCAGCTTGATGATGATTGACTTGCTTTACCTGTTACAATAATTGTGATTTCAACTATTGTATCTGATTATTGTAAAGTGGTTTGACTGGGCAGACTGGATCATTTTAAAATGTGAGCCGCTTTGGGACTTAACTCTGCTTAGTGGCAACACTACTATTGCAGTTTTCTTGAACTACTTTACTGCCACAATTTCTGAATCTTTGTCTTATCTCAGTGCAGCTCCACTGTTTGGGATTTTTGTTAAATTCCATCAAAGGTGCTGCAGCATACATTGGAGATGCAGTTTCTCTTTTCTTAAATCTTGTTAACAATCTGCGACTACCAAGGTGAATACTACTGAATACTGATGATTTTATCCGATCTTCCAAATAGCTTTACTGAACAGCATCCTGAACTTACTTTGATACAGTGATGAAATTCGTGGAGAGATACTGTTCGTGCTGTACAAACTCTCCTTGTTAAACGCTACCCCGTGGGACAATATATGTGATAATGACAATGTGGATCTTTCAGCAGTCGGAAAAAGTTTGCTTCAACTCTCTCTTGAAGTTCTACTTAAAACTCAAAATGATGCTGTTCGCCTGAACTGTATTGGTCAGTATATTTCTTCTCTTTGTTTTGTATGAATGCTGATTGGTTACAAAATAAATAGGGTATACTGGCATGTATCTTGCTGGCTTGGCAAAGAAAAGAATGTATTATGTGTTTTTGTACCATAACTTTATTATTTATTCTTATTTTTAACAACTGAAACTCTTGATGGTCTCCTAGATACAAATTTGGTTGTTAGTTTTACCACAATATATGCGTAAAAGTTCAACACTATCAAGGTAATCTGTGAGGATTCTTCTCATTATTTTCTCGTGAGCAGTGTAAATATGAAAGTTGTAATTAGCCAAAGATTTAAAACTTTGACTGCAGAATTTCCGTTGTTTTAGGACCTGTGACTTGAGGGAGTGATATCAGAAGTTGGCTTGCATAAGTAAAGGGACATAAATGCATATTGTCTGCAGTTATGTATGCAAAAACAGATTTGAAGCTGACACAAGCATTATGAGTCTAACGTCTAGCAATGTTCAGGATATCGGTAACTGGTACCATGTCGGTCAGGTGCTGAGTAGGGATAAATAAGCGAATTTTCCAGTTAATCGGATGATAAATCAGTTATTCAGCTATTCGGTGACCCACTGAGTAGCGATTAACTGACCGAGATGCCAATTAACTGGCCGATATTTGGGCAATGATGACTAGTCTTGACTAGCCGTGCCACTAGTCTAGTATTCTCAATCTGATTGTCGACTAGGTTCTTCGTGTAGACTAGCTCTGTGAGTCAAGGGGTGGAGCGACTAGTCGCGGACTAGTCCAGACTACGGCGTGTTTGAGTCGACCGATTCAATTTGAAGAGAGAAGTGAGCAGCCCACGGAAGGGAAAAATGGCAACCCTAACTTTTCAGGCTCCTCCACAACGAGCCGCCTGCCTGCCTCACCTGGGACCAGGCCGCCGCCACCACTCACTGACCTGCCGCCGCCACCACCAAAGGTGCCAGGAGCATTCCGCTCCTCTTCCTCTGCTGGATCCGTCCCTCTGCTGTTGTGCTCCTCCCTTGTTGTCCTCCTCTGCTGCTGTGCTCCTCCCCTGGATCCGCCCCTCTGCTGCTGTGCTCTTCCTGGATCCGTCGTGATAGCAAGCAAGTACTTCTCTGCTGCTGTAGCAAGTAATTTTCCTTCTCTCCTTGCCTTCTTCTTGGGTTTGATTTCTCCCCTGCGGCCCTGGCCATTGGATATTACAATTGGCCCAGCCTCAGGTTCTTCATTCACTTCCCATGCATTCAATTTTTATTGTATACTGTATGGTCCTATATAGTATAATATACTATATACTATGTATCATCAGTAATAACAGTATCATGTCGACTAATCCGGCAGTAGTCTAGAGTAGTCATGGTTAGTCTATGAGTCTCAACCTCGGCTTGACTCGTTGACTCGTAATTCTTGAGCTGACATAGATTTTGAGAGCTCCAATATTTTAAGAGTTGGCCAAGGAAAGAATTCAGACTAGTGAGAGTTCCAGTATCTTACATATTTACAGTACTTAACCTTCAAGTTTTTTTGTGATCAAATTTCCTGCATTAGTATAACATGGATATCTCATATTAGCTGAACTAATGAATTTGAAGTTTCTTTTTGGATATAATTATGAAACAATTCATCTGTGTTGAAAATCCAAATCTATACTAGCATGTTATCTACTTGCTAGAATGCATGGTGATGTTTTGGTTGTTCTTCTACAGCATTCCTCCTTGCGCTGGCAAAGAAGGAGGCCTTTGATATTTTGCTGATTGGCGACCTGAGCTTAATCAAGTCTGTAGAGGAAGAAGAGTCCACGCAGACAGATGATGTGCCCCCGAATGCCTCTATCATAGTTCTATTTGCTGATGCTGTCAAAGGATCTCTGCTCTCTACGAATCTAGAAGTGCAAACTGGGACATTGGATTTAATCTTCCATTTCCTGTCATCTGATGCAAATATTTGTGCTGTACTTCAAACTTTGATAGATGAAAATGTTGCTGATTATGTATTCGAGGTTCTGAGGTTATCAGGTATGAGGAATGACCTTTTTCCTCATCAATTTCTGCATGGTTTTTCTTTTTTCTCGTGATGGTTAATCAAGTCGAACTGTTTACATGTTCAGGAAATAATGATCCACTGGTAATTTCCTCTATTCAAGTACTATCACTTTTAGCGACTTCAGAGGAGATGTTCAAAGAAAAGCTTGCCATTGGATTTTCTACTCTGCTCCCTGTTCTTCATTATGTTACTGAGATTCCATTTCATCCAGTCCAGTCTCAGGTTTTACGACTTGTTTGGACTTGTATTGCTAATTGTTCTGGTATTCTGTCGTTGTCCCAAGAAGAACAGATAGCATGTACTTTGACTCTAATTTTGAGAAGAAATGACAGTGGTGAACTTGGAATGTGTTCTGAAACCTTTGCTCTTGTTTGCTCAATATTAATAGAGATTATGAGGTCACCATCTGCTCATGATATTCAGAAACTACCTTTATTAATTGAAGAAGCATCAAAACATGCTATCTCTTCGACATTACCTCATGCGTATGACTCTGCATTTCTCGTACCACATTCCCTTTGTCTTCTTAAAGAAGCACTTATATTCTGCCTTGAAGGGAATACAGATAAGATTTCTGTCAAGAAGGATCTTGAAGATAGCGTCATTGAAATTTGTGGAACTTATTTACTGCATTGGCTAGAAAGTGCTGTTGTTGATGGTAATGATGACGAAACATTGGGAGAAATCCTTCAGATTTTCCACATTATTCTATCAAGCACATGTCACAATAAGCAACTCAAGTTTGCTGAGATGCTGGCATCATCCTCATGGTTTAGCTTGTCATTTGGATTCATGGGCTTATTTCCTACCGATCATGTCAAATCAGTAGTATATTTGATCACTAGTTCAATTGTCGACAAAATTTTGGGCTGTAAATATGGGGAAACAATTAGAGATGCATACGTCTATCTGCCATCAGACCCTACAGAACTTGCGTATTTACTTGGGCAATGTAGCTCCGAAGATTTCAACTTGGCATCATGTCAATGTGCTATTCTAGTTATACTTTATGCCTGTTCATTCTACAATGAAAGGTACGATCTGCTGCATTTGCTCCACATTTGGTAAGAAAAAAAAAGTTCTTCTAATGTGATGCTTGTCTAACTGAACAGGCTGGTTGCTGACAGCCAACTTCTGTCTTCAGTTGAGCAATACATCCTTCTAAATGGTGCGAAGTTTCCCTATGAAATTGCTGGTTCTGTGATGCTTACTCTGCTGGTCCATCTTTATGCCTTCGTCAGAGGCATTTCATTTGGCTGCACCATTCAACATAGTCCAGAAGCTGAGAGAACTCTGTTCCATGTAATGGCATGTAAGGAGTGGGACTTGCTTTTTATCCGAGTCCACCCAATAGCACTAAAATGGCTCTTCCAGAAGGTAGAACTTCTAGAACCACTATCTTTCCAGATGCTAAATTTCTGCAGAACTTTCTGTGAAGACAGAACTGTTGTGCTTTTAAACAGCAGTCAGTTGGTGGACATAAAGATGGTTGCAGAACTGGTATTTTCAGGAGAGACTAGTCTCTCTTCTTTGCTTGTATCCTTACTGAATCAAATTATAAAGGATGGTACAGAAGATGAGGTCTTCTCGGTGGTTAATGTGATTGCTGAAATCCTAGTGATCTCTCCTTGTTCTTCTAGTCATTTTACATCATCTGGTGTTATAGATGCAGTTGGTAGTATATATTGCTCCCCATATTCTTCAAGGATTAAAACAGTGTGTTCCCTTTTGATCTTTAATATTTTATACTCGGCAAGTGCGTTGACAGTCTACTGGGAAGATGAATGGCTTGCTCTTACCATGAAGGTAATCTTGTTATTATATTTCTATATGAGTTGAAGGTTACATAATTAGTGTTTACCATATTTTTATCACGAGGTTTGCTTCAGTGCACCTCCCTTTGCAAGGCTTACAATTTTCAATGCAAATAGACAATGTAGATTAGAACTTACCCCTTCGTTAAAAAGGGTATTTTAGTACTTATTAAGGAGACCAGTCCTGATCACCTGACCCTAAAAAAACTGCCACCCCTTCAAACTAATCACAATCTCTCTCCTTATATTCTCTGTATGTGTACTGGATAATCTGCCGCCCATTCAAATCTTTCTTGCAGCCATTGAATTTCTCCATGCTGCTGTGCGCATCACGTTCCTACCGCATAGTACTCGATTAACGGAAGCATCAATTGGCTCTTCTCTGCAGTAACTAATCACTGTATATGGGAAGAGCCCTAGTTGATTGGATTGTTTCCAAACTAATTAGATTGAAATTGTGATACGCTTCCTTGTGGATAGTATCGATTATTCAATTCACCTTCTCTAGTTCGGTCATAGTTCTTCATAGAGATTGCATCGATTCGGATCTGGGCAGGTGCACATGGCATAACAATCCAAACCATCCCCATTAGAATCAAAAGACAAAAA